AAATTAAAGTATTTCTATTCTCGTTAAAAAAATTGAAATCGATTCATAATATCTACAAAAGTTCTGATGATTTAACTTGAATGGCGGTTTCGGGTAAAAGAACAGTCTATGATGGCTGGTTTTGCTTTGAACATTCTAAAATAGTAGATGGAATAATGGCCGTCATTACGATGGGTATGCAAGCTAATTTAACACGTAAATTAATGTTGTGTCGTTGAACTTTTCTGTCTTTTTATATAAAAGAAAACCACTGATGAGATATGGAATTTATTTTCTTATTTCTCTGCAACTAATAAGTTTTTACAAATACGAAGATTATTCAAGTTACAGACCACACTTTCTATCGGTTTACCGGCGTAATAACCCCCACGGGATGTTGGGTGAACACGAAAACAATGTATGAATCACGAGCCGAAGGCGATTGCATGATTTACAAACTTTTCGAGTATTCTCCCTATATCCAAAATAGGTTATTACGCTGGTAAACCCATAGAAAATGCGGTCTATTGCTTTTAAAAAATAAACTTTTAATTTCTTGGGATATGCCATTCCACTAAACGATAGGTTTTTTGACAAAGTAGCGCACTCATAGTATTTCTGTAATTTTATAACTGAAGACAATTAAACAATGGCTGTTATGGCAGTGGACCGGTGAGTTTAATCTTAAATGAATGTCATGTTATTGCAGTTTTTGTCATTTTTATTTTAAAGAAAACTTTTCATCGTAGGTCGGAATGAGATATGGAATTTATTTTGTCATTATCTTTGAGACTAATTAGTTTTCACCAATGAGAAGATTAATTTTTCTATCCAAAAGATATTTAGTAATTAAAGAGACAAGAACTCTGTAAGCAATAATTAAGACAATTGAATAACAGTCTTTAATCAAAGGGCTCTTGGAGCCAGCTCATTCATGTTATGGGTCAAGTTTGAATTGATTTCTTGGACTTGTTGAATATAGGTACAGTTGAGTTCAGTTTATGTGAACTTTAAAGACTTTTGGAATAAATTTTATTTTATTTTTGGGAAGTTGTGTGATGAGAAAACTTGTGCATTCGTCGTGATGGGAATTGGAAAAAAGGTTGTGTGGGCTGAAGGTGGGATGGGCAGAGGTCATTAGGCAGAAAGTGTTCTTTCTGTTAGTGTGTGTGTTTGTGGGGCTGAGGATGGGCTGGGTGGGCATCATCAGGCATCCAATGTTGCTCTAGCAGCAAAATGTTAGTAACCCTCATCTTTCACGATCATTTGCACTATTGTGAAAAATCCCTTGCCCGTTTCTTGATATCTTTTGTTTTTAACAAAGCGGCCACAATCATTCTTAATAGAATTTCAAGCCTTCAATATGCGGTCTGATTTTCAAATATTAATATTTGCGTTGTCACCAAACAGACGAGAGATGAAACCACCAGAAAAGTAAACAAATGGCCAGTCACGAAAGCAACGTTTCGCTTTTCCCTATAAAAATTGGCCGGTTCCTCAAGTAAGCCAAAAACAATTTGAGGCACATATTTGAAAATCAGTGCGTGTACACCCCTGAACGTTGAAAATATATCAAGTCAAAGGAACAGTTTTGGTCTCGGTTCGCATTTTTGTCAACAAACTGAACACATATCGATTAAAAAGATGAAACGTACTGACCACCTGCAAAGCTGTCAACTAATTCTCGAAAATTGCGCTTGTCAAATATTCAAAAGTGACATCTCATTTATTAAGTTGGTAAATTCTCTAAGGACAACCGACTCGCGCGCAAAGTGAGAAGACTATACGAAGGCTTGAAATTACGTTAAGAACGACTGTGATCAAGAAACGACCAAGGAGTATTCCACAACAGTCCAAATAATCGTGAAAGATCATCGTGGAAAAGCGATTTCGTGACGCTCCGTAACTTGTAAGATGACATGCTATCACGTATCAGACGAAAAAAACAGTATAAATTCAATAAGTAGTTCTTACAAGAGACCTGTTCTTTCAAATCTCCTAAAACTTCTCAGCTAATTCTCAATTAAATTCAGTTAAAGGATTTATGGAACAAATCGTCTTTGAGGATCATTGACATGTTAGATGTAATTTCTAACACTCGTTCGGTGGTCTCTTTCTTCGTTTTCTCTTTTACTACACAAGTTATTAAAAACGGGAACTAGCTCAGATCTCTCAAGGAAAGTGTGGGTCACCGCTTATAAAGGTGACGCTTACTGAACTGTCAATCTCTAACCTTCTTCATCCTTTTACACCTAATTAGCGAATCACGTTAAGCTACGCAGAGTGGAGTTCGCATACTTAGAAGGTACCTTCGAGATGTTTACGCTTTATAATATCATTTTCTAACCTAAATTTCTTAGTCTTACGGTCAAGGTCGGGCAAAACAAAAACAAGATTGACAATATAAAATTATAATGATCTTACAGGCAGAATTAGAATCATACTTAAAAAGATATCGTAATAGAAAATAGTCCTTGAAAACTGTTACATAACAACAGAATAAACAGAAATTTCGGAGAAGAAAGGGCGTATCCAAGGTACCGCCTCTGAAAGAGCTACGTGTTCAGTTAGCGTAAGTTAGCTGACCATAAATTCAGTGCGGATGATGAAAAGTGCTACATGTTTACACCTTAAGTCACCTCTAAGAAAAAGAGGTGTCGAACGTTTTGTAATGAAATTTACAAACTATTTTCCTGATCGGGAATTCGACATGGATTTAACCTGAAAAACGAGGATAAAAAAAGAGGTTAAAAAAATATGAGAAAAGTTACTCCCGGGAAATTCCTGTACGGGATCAACTGATTTTATAAGATAAAGTCGTTCTTCTTCGTAATCAACCATCTTTTCGCAAAATAA